CTCAGTGACACTCAAATAGAGTTCAATAAAACGTGTCTTACAAGAGAAGCTTGTGCCGCGGTGGAGAAACTGACATCGACTCGGACGTGGACGTCCTGAGGATATTAGATTCTGACCCGCTAACTTCGTTAGCTTGATATTTTCATTGCTCTGTTTCTTTGCAGGGTCTCAGAGAGGCCGTGCTGCAGCTCGTTGTCAAGGTATGTCTGCTCACACACACACACACAAATGATATCAGTTGAGTGTGTAAACACATATTAATTCCTTGAAGCCGGTGTTGACTGATGATTATCCAGAGTTTATTGTACGTTTTATTGTTGTACCTCCTGTAGTTTTATTGAATGCTGTCCATTTTAGTTGGTGTCGGATGAAAATGAAGGAGTCTGGTCGGACTGACTCAGCCGTGGACTTTCATCCACTGTAATTTTATTAAGACTTAAATCTGATCTTGTCTCCAGATAATTTGGTCATCTGCTGAGTAGAAAGATGGAACATTCTTAGAACTGTGTTGTTACGTTGTGGACCAGCCCTGAATGAGAGGAGAGGAGCTGGGACATTTTGCTGCATGCTGTGTCTCTCAGGGTCTCTCTCAGGACCATGGACAGTGCCCATAGATCATGACCCTCACTTACTTGGTCAGTCAGTCAGTTGGTGGCAGGTTATTTTAAATGAGGTTTGGTTAACTGGGTATTTTATTACTCTGGTCTTACAGTCAGTTAGCAAAGATTCTCTGGTTTAAATCTTCGTCACATTTCGAGCCATAAAACAGCAAATTTGTGGATGATTCCAATTCTAAATAAGTGTGCACAAAAACAAGTCATCAACCTGTGCTTCACCTGCAGGGGGGGCACATTCAGGAGTGTCTCACACACACACACACACACAAACACACACTCACGTGCTTAGGATTGAAGGATTAACCGGCTGCAGTTGCCTACGTGCCTGACGGGGCTGTGCAGGTGTGGTGTTTACGATGTTTACATCTACAGTAGGACCGGTAAATAGGTTAGCACCTTGGATGTTCTCTTCCTTTCTCTCCGAGCAAATCCAGTGCAGTCCAGACTGGTTCTAAAACCAGGTCATCTTGGACCATCCACAGGAGGTTGGGTTTACAGTCGGCCACCGCGGCTTTACACCTCAGTAGGAGGTTGGGTTTACAGTCGGCCACCGTGGCTTTACACCTCCCACAGTTAGAGTCGGACTCTTCAGATTCAGATTTGAATTCAAATGTAAACATTATGACATATAAATATAAACAAAGATTTTTACTCTGCAAGTTTCATTGACACGTTTTTTCATGTGTTAAACCTAATCTTCAATTTGAAGAAGTCAAATTCATCACATGCTTTTAAAGACGGAGCAGGGTTTTCGATCTGAACCAGCAACCGTGCTGGCGGATGAGGAGTTACTATTAGCTCAATAAATGTTAGCTCAAATATATGTTAACTCTGCCAACATAAACATTTAAGAATGCACACACCCGTGGCCCTCTGTCTGACATTGGCTGATCCAATTTAGGGATCACAGAATTAGCTTGTTTGTCCGGCCTGCAAGGCACCATGGGAGGTCAGGAGCTTAGCTCCGCTGGTGAGCAGCGCTGCTATAAAACCAGTGTCGGGATAAACAACTCCAGAGGCTCACCAACACTTGGGTCGTAGCTCAGAGACACAGTGGGATTACAGTTGTCTCCAAGTACGGACGTGTTGGATTCCGAGGCTAAGATGGTGCTGGAGGATTCTGACGTGGAAATGATTGTGGCTGAGATTGAAGTCAGCGTGAGTAAAAACCTGGACTTGTACCTGGATCTGGTTGATAGTGTTTCTGTTGTGGAGTTGCTGCAGTAGATGATTGTATTGACATTACTGAAGTACAGAATGTCAAAGTGGATAGTAGTAGTACACAGTACCATTATACAGCAGGGATTGAAAACTTTTTCCCCATGTTTGAAAAAATCCTTTATTTAGTTAGTTAGTATTTCAGTGTTAGTCTTCTAATGCTCTTAAGTTTTGTTTTTAACACCAGGGGTGATAAAACACCAGTTAGTAACAATTTTATTGCCAAGCTTTTGGACTGACTTATTCATTTTGAATGTAGCAGCTTTTTGTTGTTTTTCAGATAAAAAAAAAGAAATGAAGTAAAATGGAAAAAATCAACTCTAGTAGTTTTTTAAGAACATAATTAAAAAAGTACAAATATTTTTGTAATATTCTTATAATATATAATGTATTAAAAACATTCAATGTATTTGAATAATGACAAAACAATTCGGTATTTTTGTCTTGACTGAAGAAAAGAAATCAGAAACCCCTTCAAATTTTTTTGATAATTTAATTTAACGTGTTTGTGTAACGCCCTGGATCTCCTATAGTTGCATAAATAATGTTGAAAGACTAATATTATATATATATATATATATATATATAATATTTTTTTATCCCGTCAAACTATTGACTTCAAATACAATTGTCTCTACAGTGTTTGTTACTGTAAGGGGAGATTAAATGTCTCTGTCCTGTTCGTCTGCAGGAACACGATGTTGAGACTCCTTATGGAAGAATCCACTGCACAATGAAGGGCGTTCCCAAGGGAGAGCGGCCCGTCATCCTCACCTTCCATGATGTTGGACTGAACTGTAAGTCCGTATTATTCCCTTCAGTGTCGGTGTCAGATGAGACCTAACAGTGGATCATCAGACCTGCAGCGTCACTGTCTCCTGGTGTCCATCAGACAGACCAACTGTTCTCTGTTCCTCCTTTCTCAGACAAAACCTGCTGGGACACGCTCTTCAACCATGAAGACATGTCGGAGATCATGCAGCACTTTGCCGTGTGTCACGTTGACGCCCCCGGGCAGCATGAGGGCGCTAATACCTTTTCCACCGGGTGAGCCACACACACAAAGTGTCGGAGACCTTTGACTCCACAGGCAGATGTACTTGAGACAACCTCATTTTGCAAGAGTCCCGCGGGGACAAGCGCTTATCGGCCGCAGCCTAATCCTGTCTTTGATGCTGGGACTTTGCCTCGTGTTGTTAACCTCGATTTGAAACAGATACTGACACAAAGACTGGGGTTAACGGGACGATAAGCCGTGATAAGATAATGTCTGCGGCGTACTGGTTAACCTGGGGCGTTTGTTTTCGTCGCCCACAGATATGAATACCCTTCTATGGACCAACTGGCCGAGACACTCCCATTGGTGCTGAAGCATTTTGGGTAAATTGAGCTTCAGTTTCATCACGCCGTCTCCTCCTACTCATCTGTGGGATGTTTCTAATGTGTTTTCTAACAGTATCCCTGTACCTTCATGTCCACCAGGCTGAAGACTGTGATTGGAATGGGCATCGGAGCTGGAGCTTACGTTCTGACCAGATTTGCTGTAAGTTCTGCACCTGAGTCCTCAAAATCTGATTTAACAATTAGGAGTTTTAATCAACCCGGGATTAGCAGAACTAATGTGTTTCTGCCTTTTGCTGATTCGGGCAACAGTAACGCAGCTTATTGTTCGACCCTGCTGGGCCGTAAAAGTCCCAGGAATGTCCCATGATCGGCCAAACACGAACACTGGGCTTAGCAGGAGTCACAGTTACAGAGAGGGATTAGACCACTCCACACCACCCTGCATTAAGATGTTATTATAAAACACACATTCCAAACACAGCACAGTCTGAACTGAGACCTTGAACTACATCAGAACATCTTCAGCCACAGGAAGCCCACGCTCAGATCCAAACCAATACATTCTTATTCTGTGTTTCAGCTGGACTACAGCAACCTGGTGGAGGGTCTCCTGCTGATCAACATCAACCCATGTGCTGAAGGATGGATGGACTGGGCCGCACACAAGGTGATTCAAACAGATGTTCATGCTAACATCTCCGACTGGCTACGGGATATTTATTAAATAATGAAACTAAATATTTTGTTGTTGTTTTTTTTCTTTAATATCTGACCACAGATCAGTGGCTGGACCCACGCCATGCCTGACACCATCATCACCCACCTCTTCGGAAAGGTAAAAACTTGAACGTACTGCTGTTTCTATTACTACGTAAGGACGGCCTTCACCAATACAAACATGGCCAAAAGATAGCAGCATTTTCAGTGACATACATCAAGCTTAACTGAACTTGATTACCACAGGAGGAGATCCACCACAACCAGGACCTGATTGCGACCTATCGCCACCACATCAGCAACGACATGAACCAGTTCAACCTGCATCTCTTTGCCAAGGCTTATGAAAGGTACCAAAGACGACCCAGAATTCAGAACATGAAGTAATAATCAAACAAATTATGATACTACGATTCTGTCTGTTCACGCAGTCGAAGAGATCTGGAAATCGAGAGGCCATGCCCTGGCTACAGTGTCAGAACTCTCAAGTGAGTAAAAACTGAGCAACAACATCATTTGCGTGTATTTGTTTGATTCTCACTGTTTCTACTCTCTGACCTACTTTGAACGTGTCATTTGTCTCATCTGTTCCTCAGGTGTCCTTCTCTGCTGGTGGTTGGCGACAACTCCCCCGCTGTGGAGGCCGTGGTGAGTTAGGACACAGTCACTGACCTGCACACAGCCATTAATGATTATTCATCTCCACGCTTAACCTCAGCCAACCCCTAATAAATGTGTTTTCCGTTCATGTCCCTTTGAGACCAAGAGAGGTTTAACACTTCATTCAGCAAAGTTAGGAGAAATAGATCGAGATTTATTAATCATTTATCAGATATGAGCAGCCGTTGTCCCTGTGGAGCAGTGTTTCCCAACCCCACAGCACACCACCAAACAAAAATCTCACAAAAAGTATATGTAATGAAATATAATAATCTTCTAGTTTAAATTTACTAAAAATGTACTCCTGTTTAGTTGAAAACAATGCCGATATACTGGCAGGAATTGAAAAGACACTCTTTTAGTTTTAATAACCATCTGCTGCCACCTAGCGGAAGAGGATTGAATTGCTCTTCCTGTCACACATTCACGAACAAAGAAAAATTATTTGCAATAAATAAATAATAGTTTTGGGACCAATTAAGTGACAGTGGATAATTTTCATCTAATGATCTCTCGCGGCACAACACACAGCCGTAGAGGAACTATTTCACAGTACAGCCAGGATTTGTGCACAACAGAACGGTGACTAAATAGACCGACTTCACACTGAGGCGTTTCAGTGGCACAATGACAAACGACAAACCAAACAAGCTGAAAAAGTCTTGCAAAATTTGTTTTGCAATTGTTTTTACATACATTTTTGTCTACCCTCAGGTTGAGTGCAACACCAAACTGGACCCCACAAAGACCACGCTGCTGAAGGTAAACCATCCTCATTTGGCTCCTCTCCACCTGCAGCTCCAGCCTGATATCCTGACCCAGATTATAACAGGCTTCATGGAACAACACTGGCCGATAAGATTCCATCGGCTCAGCGTTTACACGGTGACATATTAACCAGAGTAGTGACGGCTGAATGTCTCTTTAGAGGCGACGTGTATATGCATGTCACCTCCGAGAACTCATTCTGGTGCGGCTGACCTCCATGTGCAGCCCTGCGCGTACAACTAAATGGCTGCTAGGCCTGAGCTTTTCTTATTTATTGGGATTAATTGTTCGGGGTAAAGAGGGACACTGACTGCTGATAGTGGCGGGGGGGGGGGGGGGGGGGGGGGGGGGGGGGGGGGTCAGGTGCAGAGTGTTAATGGTGTGTGTCCACTGCTGTGTGAACCTTGAAGCAACAACGTGCTAAATGCCAAATGTTTTTGTTTCCCCCTCTGCTCTTTCTCCAGATGTCTGATTGCGGTGGCATGCCCCAGGTTGACCAGGTGTGTACATAAAAAAAAAACAGCTTCACAATGCACCATTAACGTCGTAGCACACGCAGACTGGACGAGGGTTGCATAATCAGATGGCACTTAAGTAGGCTTCAGCCTAAGAGCATTAGCAAGTAGCAGACGTGGCCCACGATGGTCAGGTTGTAATCCTCCCGTTTACACCTGCGCACCTGTTCATACCAGCTGTCATGGTCACACCTCAGAGCAGCCAATAAGATGAGAGACGGACACTGTCAATTTTTATGTAAACAAGAGCAGTTAAAGTTAATGTCACGTGAACTCATCGTCTCTTTGTTTGTGTTTTTCTGCTGTGCAGCCTGCAAAACTGACAGAAGCTTTCAAGTACTTCATTCAAGGGATGGGATACAGTAAGTACTTTGAGTTACTTTGCAGGACAGCCGTTACATATACTACAGGAGTTTTATCTAAGGCTCAAGTACTGCTCTTCATTTAGGGCTTCTGTATTGCAAGTATGGAATTTAACCAGAAAATAGCTACACACTAGCCAAAGGATTACAGTAAAGACGGACAATTGTTGAGGTAGAAATAAATAACACACTGAGAATGTTCTTAAAGATAAGCCACTGTTGAAAAGAAAATGTTGGTAGCATATATTAATAATAATTCAGCAGCAAAATAAGCTTCAAGTTAGCTTTTTTTCTTTAGAAAGAGCTACAAGACAGTTGAGTTTTATTATTATTTTTATTATTATTTGAGTTTTGACAAAATAATTATGTAAAAAGTCGCCTTCATTAAGTAGTGTCTCTCCTCTTTAGTGCCAGCTGCCAGCATGACCCGCTTGGCCCGCTCCCGCACCGCCTCTGGCTCCTCCTACGACGGCAACCGCTCCCGCTCCCACACCACCGAGGGCAGCCGCAGCCGCAGCCACACGGCCGGTCACTCTCAGACAGAAAGCTCCGCAGCCGGCACGGCCAACAGCAGCGCTGATAAAGCTGTCCCCAAATCCACTGAAGTGTCCTGCTAAAGTGAGCCCTCACTCTCTGGACACCCACACCTCTTAACATTCCTTCAGTTTGTGCTGCGCTGCCTCTAACACACACACACATTTCAACACACACACACACACACACAACAACATTTACGTGGAGAGAGGGACACTAAGATTTGTCAAAACGCACAAAAGTACACTCACCTGCAGGGTATTCTGCACAGCTGAGCAAAAACAAACACGTCTTGACTAAGAGGTCAAGGGTCAGCGAGAGGTTTTGGTCATCGTGAGGAACACTAACCCACCTGGAGAGTAGATACTGCAAAAAATACTTGATCAGATGAGTGTGTAATTAGAGGCAACGCAGCATTTTGGGAACGCTGAAGCAGAAAATGTCAGAGAAAGCTGTGGCTGCATTTGTTGGTGTACTGCTCATAATCTCTCATACATATTAAAACTGTTTTCATTTCTGAATGTCTTCATTTAGTTTTTACTTTTTTTTATCATATCGACGCAGCTTTCTCAAATATATCTTGACTGTAAATGACTGTTTCCTGTTCCCACTGTGATTGTTTGATCGTTTGTTCCACGTGGCTGGGGTCGGTACGCAGGAGCAGCGGTTCAGATAGACAAAAGGGAGGCATCTGGGAAAATTGAACACAAATCAACATTTTCTCCTATTAATATTCACCATCCCAGCATTTTTATTACACTCTTCACTTCACCTCTGCTGTCAATCAAAATTCAAATTCAGAAACGTCTCCATCGCACGCTTTATTATTGGAATGTGACCGGAGACAACAAAGTTTGTTTGTTTCTTTGTTTGTTTTTTAACAATGATTTCTATGCAATCAATCACAATGGAACCAAGATGTGCCAAGGAATTGTTCACTGTTGTAGATGAGATGCTCCCATATGGTTGTGGATTTTGGGTGAGTGAAGTGAGCGCTCCACATGCTAACATGCGGATAACCATATAACTTACCTGACACCTGCTCCTCCTGTGTTTCTCTTGCACTGCAGCGGCGTTTCTGCTTGTTAGAATACATACATATAATTACACAGCTTTGTAAAGAGGCAATGCACAAACAATATAAGGCTGTAGAAAAAGCATTAAGCAACTTAACAGTTTGTATTTATTAAAAAAATGACAATAAAAAAACTTATAACAGATAATCCTTGTTGTGTTTTTTTGATCGATTTTTATCGATCAAATTATCGATTATCGATTTTAATGGGATTTTATCTTTCTATCTTTGTGTTTAGTATAACAGAAAATTCCATCATTATTATTGCAATTAATTGTAATACTTTCTGTATTTTTTACACATTTCTCTTGTAAGTTCACTCACACTTTTTTTCGGGTGTTGAATAATAAACAACTTCAACTTGAAATACACATACATTGACCTAAATCTTCCACTGAGGGGCGCTGTCTTTTAACTTGACAGGGCCAAGGTGCATTCACTTCCTGTTAGCAGTCAGAAATAATTGCAGCTGGCAGAGCATCGTTGCTTGTATAAAAAGCATGTGTTGGACAGGACTTCCTGCCCTGACCAGGACTGAGGACGGTGGGACAGTCTCTCAGAGGCAGCTCTGAGTAACTGCACGGTGTGGAAAAAGAACCAAACTGTCAAAAAAATTGGCTAGAATGTTCAAGAACCACCTACAGGCCATGGTTCAAGTCTGCCATGAACTGGCACAGTGAAGTCAGTTTGGCATTGGCACTGTGAACCACAGAAGAAGTCCCTGCTCCAAAAATCTTTGAAATGTGCAGCTGCCTGAGTAGCCAGGCCAGATGGTCAGATGTGTGCTCAGATTGGACAAAGATTCACATTTTGGGCCATGGCATCCATTTATTTTATTTTGATTTTTTTGGAAGAGTCAGGATGAGGCTTTCAAACCTTAGAATCAAATGTGAGAACACTGCCGAGACTGTCAAACATGGCGGTGACAGGATCAGACTTTTTTTTGCCTCCAGTGGTTATGAAATGGATACAACAGACCAACTTTAAACTTTCTGGAAAGGCCCATTTTTTGCCAAGTTTTTGTCAACCCTATAAACATTTGAGACGAGGTCTTTTCCAAACACCAGCCAATCAAACGAGCTGGACCAATCCTGCCAAGAGGACCATGACAGAAAGAAGTCAACAGATACCAAAGCATCTGGTCCAGGTACAACTTTCTGATATGTTTAAGAAAATCTTTCTATATATATATACATATATATACATATATATACATATATATATACATATATATACATATATATAAATGACCTTGTGTGTGACAGATAGATAAAATTCAAAGATCTGCTTTTGATAATAGTTATGTCCTTAAAAGTGACCCCATTAAAAACCCAAATTATATTATATTTATGTCTATAATTAATCAACTGTATGAGTTTACTTTATTGAACTGTTTGTTGTTGCACAGCACTTGTCATGATATATTGAGCATGTGTGGTTTGACACTGTGTTCACTGACCTTAGAGAATGCTTCCCTCATAACAACAATATCAAACCTAGCTACTGGGTTACCTCATGGACACAGCATCTACAGTAACACCTGTAATGTTGGATGCTACATTAATAAATTAAGCATTTATTTCTCAGTCACTTAATGTTTTCATTTGCAAAGCACATCATGCTTTATAGGTCCATTTTAGAGGTATATATACTTTTATACAAAAATGACTTTCATATGTACAATTTTTACAAGTAGCAAAAAGAATTAAGAAAACCTTTTGTACAAAATCTTAAGGTTTAGAAAAAAACAAAATACTTCAGAGTAACAAAAGTCAAAACTGAGCCAAGAGGCTCCGCTCAGGGAGGAGACCTGAGCGACAGGTCACAGATTTAGTTCATGACTTCTGGGTAACCATAGTAATTTTCCAGCTCAGCAAAGATGTCATTAGGGTTTTTGCAGCTGAGGTTACAGAAACAGGCCTGGACCCACATCATCTTCCAGGTGAACCCCGTCCCGTTCGGACACTCAAACTCCACGTCGATGGTTTTGGACTTGTAGGGGATGCAGCAGCGCTCGTCGGTGCACACGCCGCAGTATTTGGGTCTGAAAAACTTTTTGCTGGTGCAGCCTGATATGGTGATGTTTGAAGGCTGATCCTCTCTGTAGATGTTCAGGCATTTTTTCCCAGGCTGCAGAAAAAAAGTCATTTAGTTTGGAGCAGACAGTGACACTGACTGTGTTTGGTGTAAACCAGAGATTATACCTTGATGTGTTTGGTGATATCGACCTCACACGGCCGCAGGTTGCAGAGGCGGGATTCTTTGACCATCTCACACTGATCGTTGGCGTTAGATATCCTCAGGGACAGGCCGCGGCCGCAGGTCTTAGAGCAGGGGCTCCAGGAGGAAGTCTGGGCGATGCAGTTCTTATGCATCGCCCAGCTCCCGCTCTCAGTGGGGTACACTGCAATTAGCACATTCAGGGTTTAATAGGTTTATATAAGGAAACTGAACGCCTTTCTGAAATGTTCTGTCACCACTAGAGGTGCTTAGAGCAGTGTTTCCCAACCTCACAGCACACCACCAAACAAAAGTCTCACAAAAGTATAATGAAATATCATAATCTTCTAATTTAAATGTACTCCTGTTTAGTTGAACACAACACTGATATACTGGCAGGGATTGAAGAAAGACACTCACAAAGATGGTCTTCAACAGCTCTGATTATGATTTGGCATGTCTAATGATCTCTCACGGCACACTAGTGGGCCACGACACAGGGGTTGGGAATCACTGCTTTAGAGACTACTGAGTTCTACTCAGATGTTATTTGTTCTGAACTCAGTCTTGATTCATCGGCCTGATTACAGACTGCGATCACTTCTATCCATGAATGTAACAGTGCGTCCTACCCTCGACAGCATGACGCAGCGCCGTCTTGCGCCCTCTCTTGGGCTCGTCACAGATCCATTGCTCACAGCACTGTCCCTGGACTTTGATCCGGCGTGGGGACTGGCACCACACCCGGGGGGGCTGGGACTCTGAGCACAGCGCCACACAGCCGATGGCACCGTTCACACACACGCACTGGTATTTACAGCTGGGTTTGAAGCTCTGCCCGTTGCGGTAGATCACGCCATCGTGCTCGCAGCCTGATCCGACCATATCTGGTGTGACACAGAGGAGCAGCGAGCAGTCAAACACTGTTTGTAGTTAAAGGGGAAAAAACCTGGGCAAAGGTCAAACCAGGGAGAGCTAAAGTGATGTCTCAGCATTTTTATGGGCCAGGAATACAGCACACATAAAACCGTTACAATGTTTGAAACAAAGCAGTAAAAACAACATTAGAAAAACCAGATGAATTTATTTCCGCTTTTGTGCAAAGTTTATGGTCACAAATATTATGTTAAGAATATGAATTTAAATATGATTTTTATGGTCCTTCATGCTAAGCTAACGTTAACTCGTGTATACGATCCTGCGCTAGGTTCCTGTGTTTTCTTTTGGTCCTGTACTGCCGCTGGAGCCTTAGTTTAAGAAACAAAAAGTATAGTTTTGAAACATAATGCTGCTCGTATCCAAAAGTGTTTGGAGAATAGGTAACACAAATGATTTATACTATTTTCTCTAGTTGCTAAGCAAAAATATGATATTGCTAAAATTCTACAAACTCTTTGGATGGATATGTCAGTTTCAGCCGAGGGACACTTACATGCACACACTCCTTTTTCGTACCTAGGCTTGTCCGAGGTGTAGTCACAGTACAGTCCTTTGTGGTAGTCGCACGTGTCTGCCTCGTTGCACTCCTCTCCCACCTGTCGAGCACAGGTTTTACAGCAGTCACAGCCGTCCGTTATGAGGCTGACGCCCGGCGGACAGGCGGGGGAGACTGCGGGACACTGGCAGGGCCATTTGCAGTACTGTGTCCGGGTGTACGGCTCTGTGGTTGTGGAGGAGACGGCCGTGGCAGGCGGCATGATGGTGGAATTCTGGGAGAAGGCCTGATGGGAAAAACAGTGGGAAAATGAGCTGTTATGAGCCGTGGTTTTGTCTGCAGTGATGCTGCCCTCTGCCTGCACTCTCCTTTTTACTTTTTCTGTTAAAAAATGACTAAATAGACCCCATAGGTGGCAGTATTGTAAATACAAACATGCTGTGTAAACATGTTGGAGAATGAGTCTTTTTTCATCTGCCTCTCCCCCTGCTGGTGTTACTCTCTGCAGCCTCCAGCGACTGGGTGGCCGCGCTGTGCAACGAATCAAGGCGTCGATAAAAATCTATTAAAACATCATGTAAATGTAATCTGATTACATTTGTGAGAACGTGCTTGTGCTCAGCATCATATCCAGAGGCTAGCGCTGTGCTAACTGTTAGAAAATCCCGACAGGGTTCCTCCCTGCCTCACAGTATGTTGTGGTTTCTGGAAACCACTCGCCAAGATCAGAGTTACATGATTTGTAGTCTTTTTTTTTGTAAAGCAGATGTTCCCAGTGATATGGGCCACAGGGGAAAGTTAACAGCCCAGACTTGGAAACTGGTTTTGGACAGTGACTGAACGTGTCTCCACTAGAGGGAAATGGTGTTTTTTTTCTCTTAAAAAAAAAAGAAATCATTCTAGACTCTAGACTGCACTAAGGTTGAAGAACTGACTCTGAATAAGAATAAACCAAACTCAGTGTTAACTCTTTATGTTACAATTTAGTCTAGTGTGTGACAGCATATTTCATGATGCTCTTGTTTATAACAGTACAGGGCTCTACTATTGCAGGTGGATGAATTAGATTTAATCAGAGCAGTGAAACAAGACAACTCTGTCAGTTTGTCAGCGTCGTCAGCTGTCATTATAATAATAATAATTGTTAAATGGTTTATGTTATAATGTTATAGAATCACTGAAAGAATTGAACCTCACAATGTCCAAGAACACAACTTCACTGAGGTTTCACACAGTAAACGGAGGAAGGCTGAGCTTTTAGGCTGTTACTGATTTAAACCACAGGGTGGCACCGGAGCACAAGTTAAAGGCTTGATTTTCTAAGGTGACAAAAGATGAACTCTCACATGCAACACTGGCAGCTTTCACCGTGGAACAATTATTATTAATTCTAAGTATGCCTAATGATAAAAATGATAAAACCTGACGTAATAAACTCTGCACTGCAGACAGAAAACCACGTGAATCAGAGGATACGTCTGGACTGGATTAAGGGTTAAAGTAATTTTAGAAACGAAACTAGAACTGAACTAAAAGTTTTTTGTTTTTTTAAGATAAAGACATTTTTATGCAGAATAGTTTAAAATAGGACGTGAAAAAAGACAGATGAAAAGTACTGACATGGAATTAACTTCAAATCTTTCTCGTTTGAAGTGACTTGTAGGTCACAACGATGGAATATTTTAACAATCATCTTATCAGATTTGATCATTATCTGCAGATTCCTAAATAAACATGTCAACTGTCCTCCATCCCACCTGTTGAATCCCGCCTGCTGTCAGAATCCACAGCAGCAGCCAACTCATCACTGTTCTGGAACTGGAACAAATGCATTAGATCCAGAATTAGTTCCGTTTTAAACGCACGGCTCTGCGTCGGTCCAACATGTCGGAGCTGTGGCTCTCATCTCTGCTCCTCCTGGACCTGACAGTCTGTTAAAGAGGGTCCATGAGAGTGACGTCAGGGCTGAGAGCTTGAGTCTCTGCTCTCCGTCTGCTCCACTCTCACCCGATCCTCCTCCTCCTTCTTCTCCTCCTCCTCCTCCTCCTACTCTCCTTCTAGGAGAACTGGCAGATTCTGTGGGTAAGGCGTGTCTCTGGACTCCAGACAACCTCCACAAAAACCCCACTGATGTTTCACTTGACAGCAGCTCAACCTTCTCCATCATCTTCATGACCCTCACCAGAGAGAGAGAGAGAGAGAGAGAGAGAGAGACATCTGACCTGGATTAAACAAAAACTCTCTTTACATGCTGGTGAATACATAAATACAGGTTGTGTGTTCTATTCCAAGCCCATGGTCAGTGCCTGGTCCCCAGATGTCCGCTGTAAATCAGTGATGTCATCACCGAGAGTCGGCCACTTGGCCTTATTGTTTTTATTGTCCTTGAAATCGAACCGTTTCTTTTTCAAATGACGCAGGCGCGTGGAGAACTGAACACGGGCCGCTGCAGCATCAGAATGCGACACACATGCAGAGCAGAGCAGAGCAGAGCAGAGCAGAGGATGAGAAGTGAGCACTGTGTCATCATGTGGCCCAAACGTGACCTCCCTATTATTTACAGACAACCCTCTAATCCCTGTCAGCCTCCGAGCTGATCTGAGCAGCTCTTCTTCTTCTTCTTCTCAGGTTTCTCCTCATCTCAGCGTTCCCGTCCCTTTCCCTCTCTGTCTCAGACTTCAGGCCGTCACCACCGTCAGTGGAATGTTCACTCCAGACACAGATAGAATTGACCGTAGAATTGTTGACATGGTCATTTCCAGCCTGTTCTCGTGCATATGAATGATTATTACACAGTATATTTTAGAACAAATCTGAAAATGAGGTTTGTTGACATTTTGTTGAGTGACAAAGTGTTGTCCTGTGTTAAATGCACTGCTCAGCAGTGAAACTTTAAACAGAAGTCGAGCTTTAAGAACTGGAACAGTGGAGAAAACCTGGACACAGTAGTAAACACATACAAAGACGTTGATTTAATTTGATTCAGTATTAATATTGCTTTGTTGTGGCTTCACCGTCTCATTTTCCTCACGCCAGGACACATTGTTGCATTCTTCCACGTCCTCACTTCCTGTTCATTTGACCTTGTCAAAGGCCCAGACGTGTGTGTGTATTAAACCTGTGTTTTCTTGTTTTCTCCACATTGTTGTTAGGCAGTTTTTCTGTCCCAGAACGGTTCTACTATTAGACGCCAGCAGAAAGAGCTGCATGTGTGGTTTAACTGTGGGTGGGTTAGTTTGGTTTGTTTTCTCCACGCTCTTGTTAAAATTCACTTACCGCACAGTAAAGACAAATCAAAATATAGAAAACCTTTGAGGACAAGAGACAATGACGTGGTTTCTCCAATCATATGGACACTGGGACGTTAGTGTTTGTCTCTAGACATTTCTTTGTGATGGGATTGTCACCCCTCAAGGTGTGCCTTGCCTTTTACATGTCGTCAGCTGGCATAGGCTCCAGCACAGGCATGGGCAAACTACGGCCCGCGGCCCGGGTGCTTCTGACCTGCAGTGCCTGCATATCCCCAATTGATGGCGTAGAAAAGGCTAAAAGCATTTTAGCCTTTATGCATGACTTTTACATGTCATCTGTCTGTCATTCGACCGCTTCATCTATCTGCTCCTGCCTCAGCCCCACTGTCAAATTGAAGGACTCACTGTGGCCCGAGTGTCAAAAAGTTTCCCACGCCTGCTCTGCATGCTAAATGTGCTGAAGGAAGGAAGGAAATGATTAGTAAAATCTAATCTAGAATAAAAAAAAGTGACAAAAAAGTTCTGTCATTAATTTGTGTATAATAAAAAAAATTAACTGAAATAGACAACGATCTGGTTTCTCTTGGCTGCTTTCTCCCAGAAATGTCCTAAATTTGTCTCATTCACATATTTTCCCCCACGTTTTCATTCACCGCTGAAAGATCAGAGACAGAACGTCAACCACAGCTGGTACCATTCAGACTCACTGTGTGTGTGTGTGTGTGTGTGTGTGTCCTCCATTTTCTGCTCTGACACAATAGCTGTACTTAGTGTTAACTGCGTGGACATGGAGTGTGTATCATTAGGTGACATCGATCAAAGCGCCTCAGCAGCGTGACTCGTCTCTGGTCTCCAAGCGTCTGTTGTGGTGGAGCCTTTGACACAAAACAGTTCTTCACTCAGTGAATGTGGACACGCTGTGTCTGACAAATGTGTTGTTACTTCTGTTCATGAGGAGAGAAAAAAACACATCATTAATCTTAAAATCACAGGTGAATGTGTTGACATATAATACAGTGTCACTTCCTGTCCCACGGGTGTCGAACTGTGCTCTGGGTATAAGAGAAACCAGTCAGGCATGACCAGGATCAAACTGAAAATCCTTTCATTAAAGCCACATCAGAGGACAGAAAAGCCTTTGAGTCGAACCACATATCCTTTGAGAAAACCTTTGAGCTTCAAAGTCAAGTAAAGTGACTAACCCTCCGTCCTTAGGAGAATGAGTTTATTACACCTCCAGGCGACCAAGAAACTGCTGAGGTGATCTGTGAAAACAAGCTTCCCGTCCACTACGCCTCCAGTGTGGGAACAGTTTGCTGGTGTTTGCTGGTGTTTGCTGGTGTTTGTAGGTCTGTAAACAGCAGGGTGTTTTCTCTCCACAGCTTAAAATAGCAGTGAAATTCTGTCTGCATGCAAGAAATGCACAAACTGTAATTACAGCAGCGTGGATCCATAATGACAGTGCTGCCATTAATACACGTGGAGCCTATTAGAGTGTATTTCATGACAGTAACTCATGAATACACCACTATCATGTTAGATAAATGGGATTATAACTGGGACAGAGACCGACGTCCACCTGTGCCTCAGTCTGGATGTGTTATTTTGTCAGTGTGTATTGTATTGGTTTATATGTTGGAATATATAGATTATATAACAATACACTTGCTACTACATCTACTACTACTACTACTACTACTACTACTACTACTACTACTACTACTAGTACCAAAGACAAGTCAAATGTTTGACTTTTGGGGTTATGTAACCAAGTATTTAAAATGCTGTAGAACACACGTGTACTGTTTGGTTATATGTCAATTACCCTCGTGGTCTTTGTAGCCCTGGTACAATAAGAAGTACTATTCTATTCAACCTTTAAGATAGATATTTTACTATTTATTTACAAATGCTAACATTTAGTCATCTGTAATTAGCACGGCGTGGTGAAGCTGTTGTTGTCAACAGTGATGATGTCACACTGTTGATAATAAAATAAAATACGTTGTCTGCAGTGTTGTGGTGGAGCAGGTGGAAGCTGTGTGGCTGTGAAAATGAGGTTTTTTCCAAAATGATTTCATACACTGTTGTTTTTGGGTTAAATGACATTTTCTTTGTAAATGTAGGGAGAGAGAGAGAGAGAGAGAGAGAGAGAGAGATAGGTTGAGGGAGAGAGCTAGCTTGTAAGGCTGGTCTCAGACCAGTCCAGTAATTACAGTCTTTATATAGCTGTGGTCTTGGTGTGGGACAGGCAGACTGACAAACACATCTGCTGGATCCACACATTCAGACTGACATGAACTCGGTGCCGTTGCTCTGTTCCAACTGTAAACATTTATTAGCTGTTTGTCGTTCACCTCGAGGTCAGAAATGGACGGAACGCAACGCGTTTCTTTAAGTAGAGAAAGAAAAGCCTGTGGAGTCACATCTTTACTGAACTGTTTAGATTCCAGAGTGTGTGAATGTTCCACAGAAACGGTCAAATAAGCAGCTTCAACAGAGTACATATTTATTACTGTTTGTATATAAATTAACATTCCACTCGTTGTGCTGTCAGTTGTCAAATGGAAAGTCCAAACAGCCTTAGCACAAGTCCTGGCTCTGCCAAAGACAACTGTTATTCCAGTCTGCGCTCCGGCTCCGACTGCACGACATGTCGGAGCTGGATCTTTGTCCAAAGTGTAGAAGCCTAGTACTTTACAGGCTTTGGTTGAAGTATTTTACACCACAGGTTTTGTCGTCTACCTACTGGTAGTGAACAAGTGTCACAACAGTCTGTATCTTTAGACTCAGTTAAGGCAGAGGCTGAAAACAACGTTTAAAAAAATTACAGTCGTACTTTATGAAATATATATTTATGTATTTTCATTTGTCTCCACACATTGAAGACATGACATATATCTGCTCCACCTTGTCATTTGTCTCTCTGTCAACACCTGCTCTCCTGAGTCTGATTAAGCCCCGCCCACGTTAATCTCTCTGCCGCTCCATTCCTCATGCTCCGTCGACCACATTTACTCCATGTTTTGTTGTACTGTGTCGTTACAGCGCAGTGGAGGCAAGGTGGTTCAAGGTGGTTCAAGGTGGTTCAAGGTGGTTCAAGGTGGTTCAAGGTGGTTCAACAAGGTGGTGGTGGTTCAAGGTGGTTCAAGGTGGTTCAAGGTGGTTCAAGGTGGTTCAAGGTGGTTCAAGGTGTATCAAGGTGTATCAAGGTGGTTCAAGGTGGTTTGACATGATGAGCAGAAATGGAGAATAAATGTCGGAGATGGTGATGAGACACCAAGGATTAAAAAAAGACCATGTCGATCAAACGTAGATGTAGTCGAGGAAGATCTGCAGATGGGTGATGTCACAGTCAAGGACTGAGAGAATATTCTGGAATAGAGGCGGAAGTAGGAAAAACATAATCCAAGTTCACTGACTGAAAGTTTCTTAAGGCTGAATGTGCAGCTCATGGACTTTCATATCTATATTTGTTTTTTTTACTGCACCAACTGTTTGACAAGGGATGAGCAGAAGTGATAAATGATTTACCCTGAGATTAAAACATTTTTCAGCCCGGTGCGAAGCTTCATGCAATTGAACTTTAAACATCTGTGTAGATGTTGATTTACGGCCTGCTAATGTAAGCTCAAATTCCCTGCTGCATGTCAACCTTATCGTGGGAGATCCAGGCTCAGACACGTCTGCTGATGTCTTCCATGTGG